TGGATCCTTGGATCACTTGTTGTAACTAGTAACTACGAGCTACCAAACAGCTAGATTGGCCAAATGGTTTCCTTTCCATTGTAATTATTCTTCTGTTCTTATTTGGTTGTTAGCAGCCTGTTGATCTAGCTAATTCCTGAAGGATCGTAGGGAATTCACTTTAGTACTGTTTGTCAGCTTGATCCAGACCCTCGCAACCCATTAAAAAAATGCTGTTTGTTTTCAGTTCTATACACACTCCCTTCCTCAGCTTCTACTTGTGTGCATGGAGATTGTTTCCTTATTGGTCATGGCGTGGAGTAGTCCTGTGGGCTGACTTTGTCAATACCTTTCAAGATTGTCAAATACTAGGAATTCTCCTTGTAGTCTCCTCTATTTTTTAACCTGACCCTGTCAGACATTAGTTTAAAACCATTAACCTTACTGTTCTTCTTTGAGCTCTGCCAAAAGCAGCAATGCCCTTTTGTAATGTGGCAGCCAAAATTGTACACAGTGTCATATTCAAAATTCTTTCATATATTTTTTTTTTACAACAAATGCTTGGCTGTAAAAAACTCCTTGTACTAAATGCAGCTAGACAGCCAAGCAGTGCAGATCATTAAATGTAAACCAAGAATACCAAAGAGGATCCTTCTTGTTTGTTTGTCAAACAGCCTATCCACCAGCAGAAGAACATGCTTAATAATCTATCTGGGAGTAGGCTTCGGCTATGTAAAACACCAGTAAGTATTAGAACATAAGAAAGGTCAGAAATGATAGGAGGCCAATTGATCTGCTCTGCTCAGTAAGTTGCTAGTAGCTTAATGATCCATTAAGTAGTTTCTTAAAGGATCCCGCAGAGTCAACCATAATATGGCACCGACGTTTATTCTACCTCAGCCCACCATATAAAGACATTATCTATTTTTTCTTCATGTTACTCCTATGCTTAACGTCCACTTGTACATACACTTGTGTACCTGGGTCCTTACGTGTTCTTGTACTGATTTAATAAATCTCTTTCAGCATTTGTCAGACATCTGAACCACATCCCCACATAATCTTCCTCGAATTCAGGTACAAAAAAAGATTATTGCTTTGACTGATCAAACCAGGAATTAGTCTGATTTATTGCCTCCCCTGGAACAACATTTTTCTAATAGCAAGGTCACCAACTATAACAATGACTTCGGCAATGAATTAAATATGAAATGAAAAACTGAGAAAACATTAAAGAATTTTATCATTTTAAGTATCAGTATCACTCAATGTTTTACTGCAGTGTTTAGCTGCTTTATGCAACAACACAAAGACTCAAAGAATTTTAAGGGGTAAATTGAATTTAAGTTTCTAAATGTACAGTAACTGCTGACAAGGAAAACCATTCTATCTAGAGGAAATAGAGTTCAAAGACTGTTTATCTTCTGGATTCTCCTCCATTCCTTTGTCCTAACACAAGACAACCACCAAAGAATAAGTCAATGAATAAGTCAGTGTGCTCATGGCCACATTAAATAAAGTAAAATTGTCAGCATATAAAATTTGTTTCATATATATGTAAAAAGTCAATTAAATATGACAAATATATGAAGATAATTACATAATTAAGCTTAAAGACTCTATTTGACATAGTAAATTGGGTTGAGGTTACATCTGCACACATTGCTTTTCCTTGACAAAATGGTGCCAGGTAGTGATTAGACCAAAGTGTGAACTAATGAAGACCCACTTAACCAATCAGGGTTCTATTCAGAACATTTTCGAACATTTAAATTAGGTTTTTTTGTTTTCATTTTTGCTGCTTTGAAAGACGAGCTCTCTGAATTGTGTCAAAATAAATGTCCCTTAATTGACTTTCCCTTTTTTCTTTTAAAACCTCAAGTAATTTATAAACGTAGCAGACAATAGAGCAATTTAGATTCTGCAAAAGTTGTCATTTGCTTGATTTTTCATGTTTCCAGCAATCACTCTGCTGCATCTGGTCCTTCAAATTGTGAAACACCTAAAGCCTGTCATCACCTTTTGTCTTGTAACCTGCAAAACAGAATAAATACTCTCCGTAGTTACAAATGACAAACTGAGCAAATTCACACAGTACCTTTCATTTGGTCCTACTGTAAAATTGGTCACTTTCTTCAGAAGAGGGAGAAAACTAGCTCTTTACAAAAAGTTGATGAGTGCGTTTTCTCAACCACATTAAATCCATATGTAAGAGTTCAATAAGGTGCTGGAATAACTAGAACCAAAACCTTTGGAGAAGTACTTTCCTACAGTATTATGTTTTTTAATTTGTTCAATAACTGTTGCTACAAAATTATATGTAAGCATTTACATACAGTACATATACAGAGACCTACCGTATGTGGAATATACTGTATACAGTATATTAATTTAAATCAAACCTAACACATTTCACAGAATCCATTATTGTTGTACCAGGAAGGATTGCAGTGATAGAAGGTACATTAAATGCCTGTAGGATGCTACAGACATAACCACTAACTGGCTAGATGCAACAGAAATGCATTAAACATCCTTGGGGTCTAGACTGGAATGCACACAGAACACCTTTACTGCCAACTTCAGTTAACAAGGATCATTAATGTAAGCACTCTGAAATAGACTTTGTCAGCATTAACTGGAATTCACCTAAGAATATGTCTTTTTGTAGATCATCATGTTGGGTGGCATACTTGTTATACCATGTGGATTATAATATGCTGTAGCCCCTTAACATTTAGTACCGTTTGATGAATACAGGCCAGTGACCAGTGTTAAACACCGGTGGGCTGTACAGGCCAGGTGAAGAGTGTATGCATTATGTCTAGAGTGCTCTGGAGAACCCCAGGTCAAACTGGGCGGTTTTCTATATTTCTATATACTTTATTTACAGTATATACAACAACCTAAGGGTATCATAGTGCAGTAGGTACTGTTGGTCCCTGGATATATAACTAACTGACCTTTCCTTGGTTAGGTTATCAGCTGAGAACTGTGTGAAAGACACCCATAAAAGGTAACGAGGTAGCAAACAAGGTAGTAACGAGGCGAGAGGCTGGTCCAGTATGACTTTCTCACCTGAAGTTTCTTACAAGTGAGCACTGTTTTTCAAAAGCCCAAAATATAATTAAAATCATAACAGGTATTTTGAACCCTGAAGAAACTAGTAATGAATTTAGGAACAAAATGTATTCCCTTTTAATATTATACATGCCAAGCAGAGTTTGTGTTTCTGAAGTGGAGTACTTGGTTTATAGAAATGATTCTGCAAAATGTAGAAAGTTTATAATAGTCTAAAAGCCAGGATTACCTCTTTAAGATGCTAGGTTTGTCCATACCTGAGGGAATGAGTGAAGGTATGCCTGGGCTCAGACACTTACAGGCTTTATAAATAACTGTCAGATAACAGTTTTCAAGCTGGTTTGCAATTAAATGCTGTAATTATTTTTTACTCTTCTATATTGATGTTTTCTCATTGCACAGCCATCTCAGGAAAACAAAGAAAAAACACATGGTATTGGAGTTGGATTTTATTCCTGAGGTTTGGGTGTGTATTGTTGTCTATTTAAATATGATTTAAATTTACACAACCCCATTCTTGTTTACCACTATAGTAGTAGGTCCACTGCCCTTCCTAATTTATGTTAATGATCTAGATTATTTTAGTAGACTAGTGATGTTTAGGCAAACAAAATGTATAAAGGAAATTAAAGAGAATTTAGCCATAAAAAAACTGGACAATCACCTGACATATGACATTTAATGTGAATAAGTATAAATCTAACACATAAATAAGAATACTTATGAAAAAAATGTATTTTATGGTGATGCAATGTGGAGAAGCAATTAAAAGGCAAACATTTATAGTTAAAGAAAGAGACGTTAGTCAGGGGACATTTAGTTGAAATTCTACATGGTCCTAGTAAGACCTCTTGAGCCTTTTGGCTTCGATATCATTTCAGAAAAATGTGACCAGTACTTTGTGACTTAAGTTTGTGACTTAAGGGGAATGTCTTACACCAATAGGCTAAAATAACTGAATCTTAAGTACTGAATAGAGAAGACTACAGGGGGACCTTGTAATCAAAGTTGTCAAAATCTTCAAGGGCACTGATAATGTCAACTCAATGGGCTTCTTCATAGTCAATACTGAAAACACAAACTAGAGGATGTGGAAACTATGAGGAGGTGCATTTCCTGGAAAACTGATGTGGGGCACTTTTTGGCAGAAAGTGTGGTAGGACTCCATAACAAGTTGCCCCACCATGTTGTTGAAGCCAATACCCTGGCTTCATTCTACAAATCAGTTACTTAAATTCAGATGAACCAGATGGGCCGAATGCCCTTTTCTAGTTTGTATCCTTTCTTATATCTAGTAGGTTTCACAGGATGTAGAACTACAGTGCAATGTAGAAAGAAAATGAAAGAAAAAAAATCAAAACTGTCTAATGTTACATATATTTTTCTTTTTACATTTTCAATGGGATGTTTTTTATACACACTGCCCCATGACACATATTTTTTTATCTTTTTTATTGGTGCATTGCATAAACACCCAACAATTAGCACCTTTCAGGGTTATGGTGTCTAAGAACAGCCTTTCACTTTATAGTATGGGAATTAAGTACAGAGGTTTCAGAATGCTGAGAGGCACAGAACAGACTTCTGATTCTTACATTTCCATATTTAAAGTCAAATCCCTTGTCATCAGCATGACATGATGAACCTTTACCAGTAAAATGGATGTATAAATGTGTTTTCCAATATTTGTCTGTTTGCATTCTGTTTTTGAGCCACAGTATTTTTAATTTAACTGAAAAGGTTTAGTGGAATTTGCTGAACTCAAAGGCCAAAACATCTAATCACACACCTGTGTGGTAGGCACATTCTAGGTTTCGCAGAGCATATTGTAGGTGTCGTCGCACCAGTGATTCTGTGTTCGGTGACACTTTCATTTTTTCTTGTAAGTAATGATCACAGCCTGCTTTAACGACGCAATATCCCCCTCTCCTTCCCTCCAGATCATGAGCGGATTGGAAAAGACTCATCTTACGAGCAGGAGGGCAAGGTGCAGTTTGTGATTGATGCCGTCTATGCCATGGCACATGCCCTCCACAACATGCATAAGGAGCTGTGCCCAGGCAAGGTCGGCCTCTGCTCCAGGATGGATCCCATTAACGGCACCATGCTACTGAAGTTCATCCGCAATGTCAACTTCACAGGTCAGGCTTGAAACAGGTTTCTGGAATCTCCCTGGAATACTTTGATAATTTCAGAGGATTTCACATTTTACTTGATCACTTTTCTCATCTACACATTTCTTCTCTGGTTTTGCTTGTTGAAAATATAACTGAAATCCCTGCTTGTATTTTATTAAATATTGGAAATACTGCAGTCTTGGGAAATATTGTGCATTGTATAAATCAATCATAACAGGCAAAGCATGAAGTATGCTTCTTCTACAAAATATTACATTGAAAACCTGCACAAAAACAACCAAACATAATGGTGATGCAGTATTTACTGTTAGGGATTCAGTAAGAGAAACCGAAACTAATTAATGAACCCACTTGCAGGAGCTGATAAAGCCTAGCCGTGATTCAAAGAAAACCGTAGACTATAGAGCAATCTGAGATTCCAGGGGAAGCCAGAGATCTAAACAGGGAGTGAGTACCGAAGCCAAGCCGTGATCCTAAAAACCGTAGTCAAATAGGAAAAAACGTAGTCCGAAAACCAAGAAAGACACAAAGAGAAAGAAGGCGTAGCGGAACTAGAAAACCAATACTGAGCGAGGAGGTAGAAAAAGACTGGTGTTTAAGTACAAGATGAGATGGGGGTGTGGTGGTGAATATGTAAACTGATAGGTAGACTAATGAAGTAAGACTATGCCTTCTTCTGCCTCTTCCTTTGCCGGGTGAATATAAAATTGTATGAAAATATTTTTACAAACTATAGCCATGACATGTTTCCACTTGCAGACAAATATTAGACTACCAGCCTATTTTTATTTAGATCAGAAATTGGCTATTTGCATTTGAATAGGAATAGCTCTTGTATTTTGGAAGTCATGGTCAACACAATAAAATCATCACTACTTGAACAAATTATTTTAACAAAATACAAGGCTTTGACTTGCATTATACAGCAAAAATATCTTAGCTTAGCATTGTGTCTTCATAGATTTAGCTGTTCTTCAAAGTTATTCTTTTTAGTATGCATGACAGTACATCTGAGATTTATAGTAGCATGCTATTTCTTGATTTTGCCTTTATTGAAGTAGAAGTGGTATCATTTGGGTTAGGATTGAGTCCTCCACATTGAGTCCCTGATTAATTTGGAAGAAAATTACTTTAATATTGAATGGTATCCCAACCAGCTGTTTGAGAAAACCAAATCTTCAGGTCAGGGTTAAGATGACTGCTGAACTCATTTCAGGTTCCTTGCTGATTGGGCTTTCCAGGAAGTGAACAAAAATCACAATAAAATCAAACGACCACACTTCAAGAGTTGTAGAAATGTTGTTTTTTACCTAAAGGGATTTGTTGCTTATGGACAAAGTGAAGGCCAGCCTGAAGTTTCTGAGCATTTGTGTCTATAGTTTGCCCTTGTGCAACACAGTCAAAAGGAGATAAACAATGAACACACTGCTTTGTCATCTCCACAAATCACTGCTGAGTAATATCAACCCTGTACTTTGCTTAGGTTAGTCAGAGCACAGCCCCAACAGGCTGTTTCTGTTGGACACAGATCATCCAGAGCCCTGTTCTGAGCTGAGATCTCATTCATATAATGGAGAGATTTTTCTTGGACTTTATACAGACCTGCAGGATTGATATGACAATTGAATGAAAAAGCATACTGTACTTACAGTAATCTCTATGGTGACAAGATGCAGTTCTCTTTCTGTACAGAAGAGGGCAGGTGTAGTGCAGTCTGTATTTTTAATTTTCCAATTATGAATATTATTTTCTCTATTATCACCCAATTAAACATAATCAAACCTTTGCCAGATCTTCAGGACTTGGCCTTTTAACGTACTTGGGAAGCAAGGCTTTACCAAATTTAACTTTTGATTACTGCTTGTATGTGAGGAGTCAGAATATTTATACAGTATGAGTCAAAGAAAGTCTAGCCTGCAAGAGAAAAAATCTGAAATTTCTGTTAAATCTTCTGGATTGCCTGCCTTCTTCAGTACCGTTCGTTCTATTGGCAGGAAATCATACAGTGCCGAACACCACATTTACACCTCTGATCACCTCAGATCACTCAGACTGAACTGGTTACCTAAAAAGCACATTAAGCCCTTTCTCTTTTGTTCTTTAAAATCAATCCCCCCGATATTGATACAGTATAAATTGTTCAGAGCTGTTTTTATTTTTAGTGCAAGTCCACAAGCACTGTGTTTCACTTTTTAATGTAACATAAGACTTTTTTTGGTCTAATAATCAACTCCAAACATTTCAGCATCCCCTACCCAAGAGATACATTCCGTTTCAAACGATTCCATTTACTTATTGGTGGATATTGTGGAAAAACAACAGCAAAGTACAGTAAAATCACGGTACAGCAAAAAGAAAAACAGGTATCATAACTCATTATGATGCAAAACACACTGCAGGAGTGAAAGGTTCACTTTAGCAAATGAAAAGGCTTTATCTGCATTCCAAAGAGTAATTTGGGAGATTGCTAACACTGTGGAAAAGTGGATCTCCCAGTATATAAACCTAGTAAAGCCAGACAACACTCATTGACATTAGATTTTAAAGACCAGTAACTGCAGGTTGTAGAAAGTTACAGGAGCAGGGAAAGATAATCAACTAACAAGATAGAGCCGACAGTTATTATGTCCGATTGCAGGAGAAACTCAGACTCAGCTCTTAGTTGGTACCAAATGGTATCCAGCTGAAGTAAACCCACACCAAAACCAAATACGTGCAGTGGTTCAAGACGTACTGAAGATCACTAGTGGGTGAAGCAAGAAGAGCAAGACAAAGGGAAGGGAAAAAGCAGGAAGAGGCCCTGGCAGTCCAGGCTGTCATGAGCAGGTTCTTAAGTTACACACAACCTCAGACAAAGATCTGTTACAAACTGAACATACAAAACTGAGAAAGCACATTGTATGAGGTTGAGAAATCGTGCAGCGAATTTACAACACCAAACATTTCAAACAGTTTCCTCTTGCTCCCTTTTCACATATTCCTCGGGTGGAAGGTTAGTTCTGATCTGACTTCTCTCTTTGTTCCTGATGAGAAATTTAAACTTTGATGCCACGATACTAGTAGTTGAAGAAGTGAAGGAGATAAAAGTCTGCCGAAAGAGGAATCTGTTTGATGTCGCCTTCTCAACAAATTGCAAGCGCTTTTCTCCTTTTTTTGCTACTCCTTTGCTGCATCTCACAGCATGTTTCTCAATGAGTTGAACAGTTTGGGGGCATTTCTGTGTCTGTTCATTTGCACCCAGGGTGACTGTTGCTTTTGTGCACATCTTTCTCTTTGATCTTTCTACCAGCGTGGATTGTGTGAAACCTAAATGGCCTGAAATAGAATGTAGTGCCCCATTGGTTTTCCACCATTGTTTCCAATGCGGTTTGCCCAAATTTCTGAGAAAACAGCGGGTTTTAAAATTTCAGTATTCCCATGTGTTCTTTTTCACTTTAGGAAACAAAGAAAATATGCTGTTCCTTGTCTTTTACTCCAAGCTGCATGACAACATTTAGGTATTCATTGTTGGGTAGTAACATGCAGACAACTCACAAAATTTCTGTCACATTCACCAGCTGGTTAACAAATGTCTGTTTCCTAAAATATTCAGTCATTTTCTATTTAAATCCCACCCACTTTGGAATGTCCAGCTGGTTATCAGCTTGGGTTAGTGCCTCAGCCCTTGTATTATTTGCAGAAAGTGAAGATCTGTGCATGCATTGAGCCAATGTGGTCATCTGTCACAACCATTCAATGTTTGAAGCACTGCACTGCCCCTGCCACTTTTTAAGAGGGATAAAGTCCATAATAAATGTAAAATGCAGTAAGCCACAGCACTGTTTAAAGATTATTTTAAAGATGCTGTGTGTTTTCAAATCTTTGTTTATTTGACAACAAAAATATACTGCAATGCTAATACCAATTTGTATTTATTTATACTCCTTTGAGTGTAGAGTACACCTTTTATTCTGTCTTTCTCTCTTGTGTGCACTTTTTTTTACTAAACTTTTAGAAAATGAGATTGCTAATAAAAAGAGCAGGTTTACTGACTATTAAAATCAGGCCCTTTACTTACTGCTGCTCCAGTCTGCAGGTACCCTGGCACACACTTGAAAGCCTGTAGGATGCTTAGCAGCCCTGGGAGCAGAAATGCAAACCTAATTCACCCAAATGATTGGCATAGTAAACACAGCTCACCCAGCATTGATTTTAGAATATTGGAGGAAACTAAATTTACCCATGCAATTCCAGAAAATCCGTGAAAATTTTCAGCGATAAATATCAACTCTTCTCAGTAATCTGTTCAAATTCTGGTCTCGTCAGATCTGATGACAGCAAATTCCAGGAAACAAGAAGGAACTTTGCAATATACTTAAATTATAAGGAACATTAGGGTTGGCATATGCAGTCAGAATAAATTCTGAGTATGAATAGTAATTTGCTCTTGTATGAATAGTATCACATTTGTGTATTACTTAAAAATGGTGTGGTGTAATGTGGACAACAAATGGATGAAAAGATTACATTAATGATGATATATTTGTTAAATGGTGATGCAATGGTAAGCATTGCTGCCTTGCAGTAATAGGGCCCTATATTCCTATATTCTCCCTGTGTTCACATGGGTTTCCTCCAGGTACTCTGGCTTCCTCCCTCAGTTCAAAGACATGCTGGTACTGTAGGTTAACTGGCTTCTGGTGTGAGTGTGTGTTTGTGTCTTTGTGTGCCCTGTGATGGACTGGCATCTTATCCAGGGTGTACAGTATCGTGCCGTGATAATGTAAGTATCATACATTTGAATACTTTATATTACACAATGAGAGTAACAGGTAATGAGGAAGAAATTGGACAGTTAATAAATTACTTTAAAAACAGTATATGAAGTGCTTCTTTAATGATATAAGCATTTTTTAGTATCATACAGAGATATTTAAATATTCCCTTCTGATATGTTGATATTAATAGGGTATTCTCCATTGGCACACTACTTCTCTTCTACTCAATATGCTGCTTCAACTTTA